TAAAAACAGAAAAAAACAAAAGTTTCTTCTTTTGTTTTGTTTTGGGCTTTTTAGCGATGAAATTGATGATTGTGCATTTATCTTTTGTTACAAATCTAGAAAGAGGATCTTTGGTCTCACTCTTTTTCCATTGCCTTTTACAAGGTTCAAACTTATATTTAACATTAAAAACATTTAAATAAAAAATAATGCGTTCGGTTACATTTTGTTTTTCCATAATTCTTATGATTAACAATTGTATAGTATTAGTTTCCGTTTAAATCTAAACAAGATTTCAAGAATATAACTGTCAACATTCAGTTAGATTTTCCTACTAGTCCACAAGAACTTATTCGAAATATCGTAATTTTAAAACCAAAAATGGAAAAATATTTGGAAAAGAAAAAAATTCGGCTGAAAAAAAAAAACTTAAAAGGGGCTTTAATTAAAAATGGGCCACTGAAAATAAAAAAACAATAAAATGGGCCCACCACTCTCTTAGTCTTAGTAAACGCGTAGGTGCCGGAGCTTCGTTGTATATAAACCCCTCAGACCAAAACCCTTTTCCACAAATCTGGCTTCTCTTTCACGCCAATCTCTTTTTATCTCTCTCTCTCGCCTCCCCATACGCCGATTGTACTTTTATTCCACCGTCGAGTTTCTCACTCTCACCGGGTACGATTTTCCTTTCTCTGATTCTGATTCAGATTCTGCGCCACGATGTTGTCGATTGTGATTTTGTTGACTTTTTCCGATTTAGTCGTCGGTTGTCCCTTTCCCTTTTGATTCCTGAAATGGGTTTTCTGTTTCCTTTGATTCTATATCTGATCTGAACACCATCGATTTTAGGGTTTTATTTGGTATAATCGTTGAAGCTAGAAAGGGCTGGATTTTGTAGTGATAAGAACTACTCTTTTCTGGGTTTTGCTCGTTTAGTGACATCTCTCTGGAAAAATCTGGTTTTTTATTGATGGGTTGTGGTTTGACATCTGCTGTGTATTTCGTATCTGGATTGTCGTGTAGTTCAATTCGTTTTTTCTTTTCTTTTTTCGTGTCAATGTCTCAAAAACAGGCTTTTACGTTGCACACCAGATGTCTGCTGATCTCTTCAAGAAGAACCCATCTTTTCTTTGGTGCGACTGTGGTTATATGAGCAGGGGGAGGTTGTGGTGTTTTCAGATAATCTTGTTTAGGCACTGGACTTGACTTGCTTCCAACTCGTCGAGTTCTCTCTTTTCATTCTCTCTCTCTTTTCTTTCTGGAATCTCTGCATTTTTCCATTCGATTTGATTCAAAAGTGTTCGCTTGTGCTGGTCCTGTTACTGTGAACTTGAAGTCAAAAGTTTTCTGCTTTGGAAACTCTCACTCACTGGTGAGGAGTTTACGGATAATAATCTAAGTTTTCCCCTTTGGATTTTCCAATGGGGAAAACTCAACTGGCTCCTGGGTTTCGGTTTCATCCTACTGATGTTGAGCTTGTGAGATATTACTTGAAGAGGAAAGTGTTGGGGAAGAGGCTACTTGTTGATGCCATTGCTGAAGTTGACATTTACAAGTTTGAACCCTCTGATTTACCTGGTATCCATTTAAAAAGCCATCTAGTTTGTTGTTTACTAAAATTTTCTTTGGTTTTTGGTTATCTGTTTATTTACTCTAACTTGGTATTCCTTGTTTTTACAGATATGTCCTTTATAAGGAGTGGGGATCTTAAGTGGCATTTCTTCTGCCCAAGGGAAATGAAATATGCTACTGGTGTTAGGGCAAACCGTGCAACTGGATGTGGTTACTGGAAGACCACCGGGAAGGAGAGAGCTGTTCTCTGCAATGATGAAGTTGTGGGAAAGATTAAGACTCTGGTCTATCATTTTGGTAAGTCGCCTCGTGGGGAGCGTACTGATTGGGTTATGCATGAATACAGGCTTGAAGACAAGGCACTGACCGAGAAGAGTATTCCTCAGGTATTATTAGATTTCGCCAAAATGGAATTATACTTTCAACTTGAACACATGCTTATCTTTTAGCACTTAAAGATGATTTGTTGCATTTTCTGTTCTTAGTTTCTTATACTTTGTTTGGTAATGCGCGGCTATTCTTATTTTCTTCTATCTTACAACTTTCTTATACTTTCCGTTTGATATGCTATTATGATTTGCAACTATTTCATTTAAGCTTATATCACCCTTTCTTGGTTTATTTACTATGTTTTGGACTGCAGGATACATATGTGGTGTGTGTTCTATTCAAGAAAGATGGACCCGGACCTAGAAACGGGGCTCAATATGGAGCTCCATTTAAAGAAGAGGATTGGAGTGATGAAGAAGGACGTACTGGTGTTCCTGAATCCAACAATCCCTCAAACATTCATGGTCCTAACAAAGAAAACAGTCTGGTTGTGACGGCCTCGCATGACCCTACGAAGGATTGTTTCGTTGGCATGATATCAGAATCGTGCGTCTCTGATGTCCAACTCACAGCTTCTAGCAGTAGGCTTCCACCTCCGAGCGACGAAGCTAACACTCCTCTGTCTGCTGCACCTCTTCTTAATGTCACAGCCACTCAGGCAGAGACCCTTCAGACTCCTGCTCCCAACACCAACTATGATGACTTGTATTCAATGTTGGATCTGTTTGTTGATGAGGACGAGTACTTGCGTTTCTGTGGAGCCAACAACAACGAGGTAGGTGTCTTGCATAATTCTTCTTTAGCTTAGTGTAATGATAAGAAGTATTGTGTGTTAAGCTAGTGAGGCAACTTTAAAACAGTTAGTGTTTTAATGGTATTGGAGCTTATTTACCCATTAAAAATAAAAGCTTCTTTCCTCTCTTTGTTTTGTTATTCCTCTGAATTTGTATCAGTTCTTTCTCTCTGTATATGTCTCATAGTTTATCCTTCTCTCAGGTAAGACATGAGCCCTGTGTCACAGCTCCGGTTTGCTTTGAAGAGGGCATATTCAGCGAACTACCAGACTTGACCAATACCAACAACATGCCAAGGACACACTCATACGACCTAGTCGAAAACTCGGAGTTATACTTAGAGCTACAAGATCTCACTGCTCCATTAGCACCTCAACTTGGGAATCATTTCGATGACTCGAGAAACTCCTACCAAGGCCACAACTTTGGCCTCTCTGCTGCTGCTAATGATGATCCTTATGACATTGCTGCTTTCATGGGACATGGACCAGACATGTGAAAAATGGTGTAAAACCAAGAAGAACCTTCTTCTGCCCAGGTCGGTCTCTCTCGACATCACAAATCAACAGAAGCATTTCGGACCAACGATGGAACCATGAGACAATGAGCACCTTTGTATATATTATTTCTTTAACTTGTCTTTAAATTATGAGTTCTGATTTTCATAATCCTTTTATATGGTAAAAACCTCTCCATCAACATTCTCTACTTCTTCCTTGGATTCTCATTTCTAAATACTGGCTATTTCATTGGAATTCTTTTTATAAATTCTTCTTGTTTCTGTTTTGTTGCTTCCGTCGTCGTTTGGCAAATTGTTCGGAGTTGCATAAACAATTGTTCACACATGGGGAATATTCTCATTCAACTAGTGGCCTTAGCCAATCTAAGACCGGCTCGTACAAGTGAAGGGAAGATGCATTCTTAGCAATTTGGTCAGCCTCACCATTTGCCTTTCTTCCTCGGTAAGAGAACCGTGGTTCCAAATGTCTCCAAGTCGATCTCTTTTTCTTTTGCCATATTATCCGACACAGCCACACTATTGATCCTTTCTCTAACTTCAAAGACGTAATATTACCGTGTTTTTTAATTTTTTTGTTTTAGTTTAAAGATGAAAAGGAATTTCCTTGAATTTTTTGGAAATATTTCGAGACTTTTTGATGTAACTAAAGATTTGATTGTTTTTTTTTATAACCAATTAAAGATTTGATTGTTGTAGTTTTCGAAGTAGTTTTTGGTTTTCGATTTTCCAAAAACCATTCTATAAGTTAGTGAAACTAGTTTTTGAATGAAATTACTTTATTCTAAACAAAATCGAA